CACCGCCCCTGTAAAAGGTCCCAAGCCTTTTGGGGAGACCTGCGAGGGTGAGCAAGTAAGTTTTTGAGTCCGAGGAAGTCCTGAAACCAGCCCTTGGACAAATGGCAAAACTCATCCATTGCTACAAAAAAAAATGTCGAAAATTGCCCTGGGCCGCAGTTGGGCTTCACACCTGTAATCCCAGCATGTTTGGGGAGGCCCGAAGGTGGGCGGCATCATCAGGTCAGGAGAATCGGGAAACCCAATCCTGGCTAACACGGGTGAACCCCCATCTCTTATCTACTGAAAATACAAAAATTAGCCAGGTGTTGGGTGGCAAGGCACCTAATAGTCCCCACCTGCTGGAGGGCTGGGAAGGCAGAAAGAATGGGGCATGAAACCCTGGGAGGCAGAGCTTGCAGGTGAGCCGAGGATTGCACCACTGCCACTCCCAGCGCCGGGTGGACAGGAAGCGATGACTCCACCGTCTCAAAAAAAAAAAAAAAAAAAAAAAAAAAAAAAAGTAAAAAAGTAGGGCATGATGGCAGGGCACCTGCAGTTCAAGCTACTCAGGAAACTGAGATGGGAGAATCGCTTGAGCCAGGAGGCAGAAGTTGCAGTGAGCCAAGATTGAGCCACTGTACTCCAGCCTGGGCGACAGAGCAGGACCCTGTCTCAAAAAAATAATTAAAAATAAAGTAAAAATAAAAATACAACCTCAGTTAACCAATACCAACTGGAGATCATCTGGCCCCATGCCCTTTTCCAGCCTACATCCTAATCTACTCTATTGGCATCAAGTGTTTTCATGGTCCAGCCTGCTGGCAGCCTGGTGGCTAGCTACTGGGTACCACATACTACATGCTTGATCATCCCATTTTACAGATGAGAAAACATGCTCCGAGAGGTGAGGTAACATACCCTAGGACATATAACTGGTCTTAACATAGGCCACTGACTCCAGAGTGTAATTTCTTAACCCCTACCCTATGCCTTGCCCCACGAGGAATCCGTAAATGTTTGTTGAATGAATGAATGATCAATATAATAAGAGCCATATCCTTACCTCTTTGGCTTCATTTTGTGCTTTCATATTTTCAGCAATATACTTGACACTTTGGATGGCTTCTTTGATTTCTGGTGACAAAGCAGAGAGGGACAGCACAGCATCAACAGATTCAGAACTAGAGCTTCTTGTGAGGTTAGCACTGAAATTGGAGATTTTTATCCTGCGGTGGTGGCAGTAACCACACATCCTGTCCTGGCAGGGGTAGCCCTCCTTGCAGCCTTTGGACTCTGCATGGCTGAAGCAATTCAGATTTGAGAGCTCAGCACCAGAGAGGGGCCTTGGCTTCTGAGCGTTGCCCTCGTTGCTTGTTGGCCTGGTCATGAACATGACCCTGGGGAGCAGGTTCAAGAATACGGTCTTCACCCATGAGGGCATTGTGTGTGTAGTCGGGGTTCTGTAGTGCACGTTGAGCACGAAGACAGTGATGACGATGGACAGGGTTACGAAAATCATGGTGAACAGGAGGTACTCTCCAATCAGGGGGATGACTAGCGAGGTGGAAGGGATGGTCTCAGTGATCACCAGGAGAAACACTGTCAGGGAAAGGAGGACGGAAATGCACAGGGTCACCTTCTCGCCGCAGTCGGAGGGCAGGTAGAAGACGAGCACAGTGAGGAAGGAGATGAGCAGGCAGGGGATGATGAGGTTGATGGTGTAGAACAAGGGCAGGCGCCGGATGTACAGCGAGTATGTGATGTCGGGGTAGATCTCCTCGCAGCAGTTGTACTTGATGTCATGTTTGTAGCCCGGGGCTTTGATGATGGCCCACTCGCCGCTCTCCCAGTAGTCCTTGAGGTTCATGGAGGAGCCGATCAGGACCAGATCGATTTTCGCCTTGTCGTAGGACCAGGAACCGAACTTCATGGTGCAGTTTTGGTAATCAAACGGGAAGTAGGTAACGTCAATTTTGCAGGAGCTCTTAAAGATGGCAGGAGGCATCCAAGTCACCTCCCCAGTGTACTTGAGTAAGGCTTTGGTCTTGTCATCCACCTGGAAATCCCCAACAGCACTGCAAAGACAGATGGGGGGCACAGTAACACATGGTCATTAACACTGGGTCATATAGTGGTCATCTCGACCAGCTTCTCACAGTAATGATTTGGAAGGCAGCGGAAGATGAGAGCTGAAAGTGCCATAAAGTCACCCGATTCCCAGCCCCATTTACCAACGGGGATACTGAGGCCCAAGATCCCTCCCCAACAACAATCTGAGATGTTGAACACCCCTCAGGGCATGCCACCAGTTCATCCCACAACACAGGTCCCAAACTGATAGACTCCCAAATGCCTGGATTGTTCCCCCTTTAATTAAAGAAATGGGAGGAAGGTCATCCTCCTGGAGCCAGGTGCTGAAGCAGCCTTTGGGATTATTTGCCACCCAGGGTCCCTGAGGCTTGGCCCTCTCATTCAGTCTGCACTGGGAGCTGGAAGGGGCCGCAGAGACCACACAGGGGAGTCTACCCCCATTAAACAGAACCTCATCAGATGGGTTTATTTCCAAACCCTATCTCTGGATCCTGATTCGACCATTCCCTGTACCCTCCCCACCCCCATTCTTCCCAGTACTGTTTTATAATAATCATGTTTTTGCTTCCTTGTCTTTTGAATTCAGCATAACAGATTTATTCACTTTGTGTCTCTGTCCCCATTTTCTCCCCATGTTTCTTCTCCCTTCCTTTTCACTATGTACATCCTGACTTCATTTTCACACAGAAATATGTTTTTCTTTTCTTTTGTTTTTGAGCAGGCTAGCATGCAGTAGCTCACTACAATCTCTGTCTCCCAGGGTTCAAGTGAGTCTCCTGCCTCAGCCTCCTGAGTAGCTGGAATTACAGGCATGTGCCACAACACCTGGCTACTTTTTGTATTTTTAGTAGGGATGGAGTTTTGCCATGTTGGCTGGGCTGGTCTCAAACTCCTGACCTCAAGTGATCCACCCACCTCGGCCTCCCAAAGTGCTGAGAATACAGGCTTCAGCCACTGCCTGGCCTTAGAAATGCACATTTTTCTAGGAATAGTCTTGTTGGTTTGTTTGACAGAAAATCAGCTGATGATCCCTGTTGAGTCTTGCATTGGGCATTCCATCCATGATGGCCAGATGGTCCATCTGAGAGCAAGGCCGGTTGCTTCCACAATGACCCTGCCCAGGAAGGTTCTTAAAAATTCCTCAGATCAGCCCTGTTAAGTTTCTTAGCCTTGTGAAGGCATTTACATCCTTCAAAGGGAGCAACCGCCACACTCCTTTGCCTTGTAAACAAAGAGCTGAAAAACCTAAACATCTAGCGATATCTTTGTGCTGCTGTAATTGGATGAGAACCTGTGAAAACAGAAGGGGAATGTTCTGGTGCGTGTCCTTCTTCCTTGCTAGTTTCTCCTGGGTCTCGGCTGAGGAGGATAATCATTACCCATGAAGGTTAAATGCCAAAGCCACTACCTGTCTTTCCTCTGGTTGGCTGGTTTGCCCCTAAAGGTGCCCTGCTGAGTTTATACATTCTTTGCCCCACTTCACTCCCACCATGCCCTTAATTCCCTACAAGAGTATTCCTGCCTCTGGCTGCAGCAAAAAGGGAGAGGTAGGAGGGTGGGGGTGGAGGTGAATATCCACACAGTCTCCAAGTGGACTCAGCCCATGTTCAGCACTGAGCGGCCCTGGA